ATTTCCACAGGGTTTCCTCGGTGGATGGATTCTTGCGCTTGAGTTGGCAAAGATATAATCCCAGATGTACTTCCTTACGCAACCCTCTAAAGTTTCCTGGTGGCCCACTGGGTAATTGCTAATAATTAAGCAACTGACAGTAACGTATGTGCCAGCCAGGTTGCAAATAAGTATCTAATCCAATAGTAATTTTTAGTAGAAATTAGTAATGAATGAGGTAAGAGATCTCAAGGTTCTCCCAGCAAGAAGACATGTTTCCCACGGACTCTTTAAAAATAGCCTTAATAAAACAGAACTTATTATTTAAGTTTGAAAAGTCAAGAAAAAACAAAGACATGAAATTAAGGTTTATGTGGCTGTTTTAAGTGTTTAAGCGCTAGTTTTGAAATCATACTACTTTCACTTCACTTCTTTCACAGTCGTAGTGAAACAATTTTAACACATAAAGAGTTTCACTTTAACAAGTCTACAAGGTGCTGTTCTACCTGCCGTTGGTGGCTGGCATGTTAAGTAACTTGATAAAGAGTGCAAAGGGAATTGAAAAACTTACATACTCATAGTGGCTATTGTGGGGTTTTACAGTTCCTAATATGACATGTCAAAATATGTGACCAATCATTTCGCCAAGTGTGGCGGAGCGTGGCTGTAGGGTAGGCAAAAGCACCCGCAGGGCATCTGCAATCATGCCTCGCCGGGTTAAAAGACTGAACTGGGTCCTGTCATGTCGTTGTTGTTGTGGATATGTGTGGCTGGCAGCTGGGGAGCAGCAGCCGTGTAAGTGTGTGAGTAGCCATCGAGTGAAATAAAATAAAATGTTCCAGTATGCAGAATCACGGTCGCATTATGCCTCATTCCTGCTACACCCAGTTTCTACCATCAGTAAAAGCATCCACATTGTGTTGCTTCTGTGTTCTTTTCTTTGAACTCTCTTCCATACGTCACACTAGATATGATAGACATAAAGATGTGCTACATAGGGCAATGGTAAAGCCTGAATTACCTTACGACATGGAAATGACAGAACACTGAACACACCCGGACTGGTAGGTTCTTAGTGATATTTAATTTTTATTTTATTACATTTTAGTTTAATAGAGAGGCAGTCTAAGAGCAAAGTGTTCTATTGGGATGAAACAGAGATCTTTAAGATAAGCTGGAGCTTGATTCTTAATGACCTTATACATGAGGAGAATAATTTTAAATTATATTCTAGATTTAACAGGGAGGCAATGAAGAGAAGCAATGTGGAAAAAATATGCTCTCTCCTTCACTGTTGGTGTTCCAGTTGCAGGATTTTGTATCCACTGAAGGCTTTTTAGGAATTTTAGTAATTATTATTAAAAGTATTGATTGTAATTTCACCTCTGCACATCACCATCGAGATTTTAAATCAGACAATCAATTTGTGCTTGGAGTGCAGACTTTCAGCTTTATTTCAAAATTCAAAGCAAAAGTTTTGTATCTGTTTATTATCTGATATTAGAGACATTTCTATACATCACCCAATGCTGTGTGTCCTCCACTGAGATGCTCTGCTAGGCCTTTACTGTTTGTGGGTCTCTTTGTCTTCAGTTTTATCTTCAGTAACTTAAAAGCATGCTGTATGCAGTCCTTGGAGAATATCCTTTCTTTATTTGAGAAACTCTTGGGTTGTTATGCTTTTGCATCCATTATCTATTTGCATTATGAAGTGCTGGCCAGCCAATTCTGCAGCATTTGGCTGATTCTGAGCTGAGAGTATAAACCTGTACACTTCAGAATTTGTCCTTGCTATATCTATCAGCAGTGGCATCTTCACAGTGGCCCTGACCTCATGAGCTGTATCTTCCCTTCTGCATATGTTTGTCTCGTCATCCTTCTGGTACAAGTCCATCTTGGTTTCTCCTAGAGTCGTCTTCTCCTTCTTTCAGCTGCTTGGTTTAGAAATCATTACAGTGGATCATTGGCCTCCATTTCACCCTGCCCCGAGCACCCAGACTGTCTGGATGTTAGGACTCTTTTCTTCCTGTCTTCTTGTTTTTCTGCCTTGCAGCTCCATCTTCAACATCCACTCTCAAATATCCCTCCTCTGCACGTATGCAAACCATCTCAGCCTAACCTCACTAACGTTGTCTCATCCACCTTCACTATCTCCACTCCTTGCACATGTCTCTCTCTCATTCACATGCATTTATTCTGTTTTGCTTCTACTGACTTGCAGTCCTCTGTCTGACATCTGTAGAGCTGTTTTTCAGCAGGAGGCCACACTGCTCCTCACTGATAAGCTTTCCCATAACTTCATGGTATGGATCATCAGCTTTATCCTTCTGTAGTCTGTAGTACTAATCATCTGCACTTACTGATTCACTAACTCTCCTCCATCCGTCCTCACCTTCACCTTGTGTGCTAGTCAGAAATTACTCTAACTTGAACACAGCGGTGACCTGATGGGTCTTTATCCAAACTGTGCTCAAAGTCAAGGCCGCATTTGTTGTTTTATGGCAAATTCTGATCTGGCCTCCTTATTCCTGTCACGGTCCCCGTGTCTCTCTGGCTGGCCCACGCTGGCTACAGGTTTTGTTGTTGTTCATTTTGGTTTTCTTTCTCTCCTCCTCCTCTCTGCCTGGGTGGAGCTCATTACGGGCTCTCGCTCTTGGCCCACGCACCCGTGTGATGATGTCCACCTGCGGCTGATCTGAACGGTAATTAATTAGTAGTGGAAATAATTTCTGGTAGCATCACAGAAATGTAGCAGTGACAATAATACTGTATGCTGTAATCGTACTGGGCAATTAGTGATACAAACAACTGTTTTATCCTGTGAATAAAAGTATATGTTTTTGTCAATGTACCATAATAACAGAAGCGAAACACAATATTGTGTCAGGACAATTTACTATTTATGCACAATAAATAAAGGAGCATAGCGCGACAATTTCTGTTCAGCGCCAGACTTGCTTGTAACCTATATCACCAATTATGTTATGAAAATGACGCATTAACTACAACAGCAGACTGACCTTTGTGGAAATGCTTGGAGCAGACTAACCTGTGAGCTGGAGTGTTCTGGGACGTTATATTTGATCTTTGAATGGCTGCAATCCAGGCCATCCGTCGCCTCTTTGTTACTTCGGAAACATGGCTCGAACAATTTCTCTTCAACGACGTAATCCGATAACAACCGATCTCTTTACCCGTCGGCTTCCCGTGGCTGTCATGCGACCGGCTATTGCAGTTAATAATACAACAGCTTCTTGCCATTTTTGTGTTTCTTTTTATCGCTGTGTGACTGATTTCAATTGAAAGCCTGCGTGCGCTAGTACCTCTTGCCACGAGTTCCCAGAATCCTTTGCGGTTTTACCCTGAATGACGTCACATTTTCAATCTCTATATAATATGCATGTTAAATTTTATATTTGGGGTAAAATATCAAGTCTTTTCAAGTAAACCGGTTCAAGTCCAATTCAAGTCCCAGGTCATTGGTGTAAAAGTCCAAGTCAAGTCACAAGTCTTAGAACATTTTTTCAAGTCAAGTCTAAAGTCATAAAATTAATGACTCGAGTCTGACTCGAGTCCAAGTCATGTGACTCGAGTCCACACCTCTGTCTAAACACTTGTGTGTCTGTGTTCCTTCCTCTGTTTATAATGTGTTTATCTGTAGCCAGCTGTTTTTCTTCTATGTGGGTTGATGTCTGACTGTTTGGAGAAATAAAACTGTGTCGTCTCTAATCATGTTGCTAACATGGTAACATTTTATTTCATGTGGTTACCTTTGCAGGATGAGAAGAATCAAAAGCAGTCAGTCAATACCTAAAGCAACTAGTCCTTCAAGTCTTCCAGTCACAGTCAGAGTCACCATCCCAGCAGCCTCTAAGAAAGAAAACTGTCGACTTAATGGAGAGAAATAAGAAAAGCCTTTCCCTGTTTATTCTGCTGCCTGTGCTGCTGCTCTGCAGAAGTGATGAGTGTCCCAGGCTTCCAGAGAGTTAGTCTTTATTCCTCTTTATTCATGTTTAACTGATTTTAAGATCTGTTGTTTGACATATTTACTCATTTCTCATTCATCTCTCCTGTTTTAATTCTCACAGATCTCACTTGCTACACTGACTACAATAGAAACATCACATGTTTGTGGAACAGCACGTGTATGACTGCATGCACCATACATGCTCAGTTTAAATCTCGACGCCTGTAAGGAGCTCAATCACAAAGAGAAAAGCTCAACACATAAATACTCACAATATATAAATCACACTGTCATCAGTAACGCCATCTGCAGCAAAGATCGAATTAATATTTTTTCTCAGTTCTTACAGCGCTTCCTGTGACCTAAAGTCTGTAGACGATCTCCAGACCAGCGCTAAAGAAGTGCTCCCTGATCTTTGAAACGACAAAGCACTGTGAGTGTGTAAAGAAATCAATTAGTTTTCAAGCCCAAGATAAAATCATATATCCTATATCTCAGTTTGTATTTAATTAGAATGAAGATCTAATATTCTAAGAAAGCCTCAGGGGCAGTCACTGCATCTCTTCCAAATAGTTTTTTATCCGGTAAGTCAGTTTGACTAAAATCGTGAATGCTGGGGAATCATTGCATTAATGACTTAACGCGCCTAAAGGTTGGATTGTTGTATTTGAATAGTATTCTTGTAAAATGAGCTATCATGTCATTCTCAGAGAAACTCAAAGTAACACTCCTTAAATGTACTATTTTCATTTTACTAATCTTCTGATGCATAGTCTCTCTGTTAAGTTCACTTCCTTATGTGCTTTTTACAACTAGTTGGTTGGACTATTGTTTACTAAATCATTGAAGTTGCCAACAGCTTCTATGCTCCTCTGTCAAATTCAAATTTCAGTTTCAGCTTCCATGACCTAATCGCAACAATGAAGCAGATGTAATCACTTCCTTCATGCCATCCTGTCACAGTGAGTGAATCTAGTATAAATACTGGCTCTTTGTGATTTACAGTGCGAGCTATTCATGGTGACCTAAAACAACTGTGTGTGTGATCTTGCAGTAAAGGTGAATCCTCCTGCAGAGCCAAAAGTCAACTTCACGTCTGTTTCCTGGTTGTCCCAAGTCCCCGAACATGAAAGGATCAGTTCATACAGAAGTGAAGTCGAGTGGAAGAAGCAGGATCAGTCATGGAGTGTAAGTTTAGATTTTATGACACAATGTGAACAAGTTTAAGTATAAAGTTGAGATCATGAAAGTTCACATGTGAAACAAGATTCGTTCTCAACCCCGCACTGGTTTCTGTGTGTCAGGATCCCGCTGTGCACAGAAAACGTGGCATTCAGTGTGAGCAGGAGTGCAAGGCAGAGCTGGAGCCAGATTTGCTGATACAAGGCGAGAGGTACGAGGCACGAGTTCGTGTGCGGTCTATTTTTCGGCACCGCGAGGGAGCCTGGAGTGACTGGAGCCCCACTGCATCATGGGAGTCACCAGTAGGGAAAATAAAACCACCATCAGGTACATTTATCTCAAAATGTTTTGTTAACATAACATACCAATGTCAAAATCTTTCCAATTCATTTGCTGTGCACTCGGTGGCGGCAGTCAGCCACTATCAGAGTCGGTGCGATCGGTGCCCGCTATCAATACCTTGGGCAGATACTCCAGTTGCACGGTAAGCCGGTGGCCAGTGTCCAGCTGTCGTCATGCCCCAGCCTGCACAATGTAGCTTGCCTCAGTGTGTAATGTGTGAATATGATTGTAGCTTTGTCCTTAGGGCTAGAACTATGGCTTTACATATCACAGTTCATATGGAAATGTTTGGGAAAATGTTTAAGTTGAACACAGCATGGGGAGAAGCATTGTGAAAAATGCTCACAATCTTCAACATCAAGGGAAGGAGTGGTAATGGCTCGCCACTAGGTCAGTGCAGAGGTAGACGTGGCTGCGCTGAGCTCATCAAGGGAGTACGGGATGCAGGTAGCCCGATGGCGATTGATGATACGGTGCCTTTTGTTCTAAGGGTTCCCAGGTTTGAACAGTATCATGTATCTCAACATGTCTTGACTTAAGCGATGACTATAAATTCAGTGCAAGGTATATCACGCAGCACGGAGTCACTGTAGTCCACCTGATAAGAAGCAGATGATGGGGAGGAAAGCGGCAGACTTATAGCAACAATAGTCATAAAACAAAAGGCACATTTACTTGGCGGTACTACATAATTTAACTTGCACCTAACATACAAGGGTGAAGCTGGTCCATTCAAGTTAGCTTGTCACGAATGATTTCAAAACAAGAGCCGGTTGATGGTAAGTCCTAACATCGAGTGACTACACAAAAAATGCACAATAACAAGAATAAGTTACAACTGATTATCCAGATTAAAAGACTGTCCCTCTGATGCTGAGTTATGAGTGTTTAGTTTCCATTCGGTAGTTTTTCATGGGAACATAAAATATGCAGTCCATATGGGGCACCAGTGCAAGGCCTTGAATGGGCTAAAAACCAAAAGAGACTTATCATAGAGGTCCTACAACACTTAGAGGGTTGTCATATCAACAACTCAGCAGCTTCATGGCACTGGCATGCATGGCTGCTGATGGAAATAGTTAGCTGGTCTTTACTGGTGAATGCTTACAGAGCAGCTACAGCAACAACAATACTTTCTTTTCTGATTCAGTCAAATATTATAAACTCACAGGATGGGCCTGTAATGACCCAAAACGTGCAGCAAAAGGAACAGAGATGTTCATAAAAGGACAAATCGGTCACATGACCCCAGCCCAACATGGCGTACTTTCACTTAGTGAAGACAGACAGAAGAAAGACCCAGAAGCAAACAGCAACTGAAGGAGGCTGCAGTAAAGGGAAGAAATGGCATTTTGAAGCTTTCTGACTTCAGACAGTCACATACAAAAGATTTGCACTCAAGGATTAGTAATAATAATTAACTGAAGGGCATAACTGAAAATGTCTGTATTTTTATATTCCATGCAAAATTCATCCTTAGTCTCTTGAATAATAAATCACAGTCACATCTTGATTTCTATTAAAATTCACTGTATCGGCTGCAGAAGCAAACTTGTCTGTGTCTCATGGACTTGGCTGTATGACCCAGTTTTCTCATGTTTCTGAGCCACTGTGACCTGATCTGTCCCATATTTTTCAGGTAATACGTTTGTTGTTCCTGTAACGATAGTCGGTGTGGTGGTGTTGCTGGCAGGCCTGCTCTTAAGCACTCACAAAACCACCCGGTACGTGAGCACAGACACAAGTTTTATGGCAAATAATATTATTATCATTTCTTCTATTTTGAGTTATTTTCTTACAACTCTGATTGATCTTTAATTTTTTAGGGTTTACATAATAAAGAAAATCAAAGGTCCACCCATACCAGACCCAGGAAAATCCTTCCTGCGAGAAATCCAGGTACGAACCGCAGATATTTCCTCTGTTATAACAAGTTATTATTCCATGCATTAGATAATACTGTGGCCACTTCAGGGCAGTAAACATAACATTTATGAAATACTGTGGTGAATTTGTTTGCAGGAAATCAAATTATTATCATATATTCAAAGCTGTGTTTTAGCCAATAGTTTTAGTGCAATAGTGACTCTTCTTAGTGTAGGGTTAAGAGTAGAGTGCTTCATCACAGTGTTAAAATAAAATGCTGGATAAGTTCATGGGAAGTCTATTATACAATGATTTAATTTTCGTTCAGTACAGTTTTATTCATGCAGCACCATTTAACAACAACAGTCACCTCACATTATTTTCTCTGTTAAACTGTTGCCTGCTGGGAACAAGGCTCACCGTATAACCACAGAGGTGGACTGCATCAGGGTCTAATTTTCATGTCTAAAAATATTTATTTAAAAAAACCTCTGTAAACTAGCAGGGCGCTACAGAGAGTTTAAGGAGTCTAAAAGCAAAACAAAATAAGCTAATGTAGCTTCAAAAGCAGATGGACACAACATGTACCATAAGAAGACAGAGCATTGCAGATAGCTGTGAACTCTGTGGGAGGTGGAACCAGACAGACAAAGTGACTCACTAATCCAGCCACAGACTTATGACCTTTATGATCCAAGCAACTCAAATTCAGTAAAGTTTGAGTGAAGCACCCCAAACAGCTGATGCTTTCCTATTTAATCCCATTAAAGTGCAGATTGATAATTTTATATATTTCAAACCTTTGTAATCTCTTCTGTTCTGTGACTTTCTCTCCTCCAGAGTGGGTTCTCCAGTGAATACTTTCACTCCTTCTTGAAATCAGTGGAAATGATCAATGTAGAATTAACCTCACCTGTGGATGCTGCTGTGGCCTACAAGCCAGATGAGAAGATGGTGTTGAACAAAGGCAGCTATGACTCCACCAGCTCCAGCTTCACTAACCCAAGTTACTCTGAGCTTTGTAGCCCTCCTCCTATTTCCTCACTCACTGCTGGGAATCTGAAGCCCTGTGCGGTTGACACGCCTTATGGTCCTGTTGGTACTCAGGGTGAAGGAAAAAGCGCAGAACAGGAAAGTGATGAAGCGAGAGAGAAAGAAAAGGAGACGTTAATGCTGCTGCTCAAAGGCAGCAGTAACAGTGAGCCAGTGCAGGTGATTTCAGACTACGAGAAAACTGAGAGGCTCGACAATGATCGATTTAGGCTCCAGAGTCTAGATTCAGGCATGTGCAGTTGTGCAGAGGTCAGTGAAGAGAGCATGGAGGCAGATAGCATCAATATGACTGATAGCCATGATGAAGAACCTGAGGCTGAGGAAGAGAAGGAGGGAGGGAATGAACAAAAGGCAGATTTTCAGAGGCTGTTTGGAAGCAGCGGAGGTGTGTTTGGCAAGTCTATCCAGGTTTGTTCTGATTATGAGCGAGTGGAGAAACAGCAGGCTGACAGCCCGGAGCTTCCCAGCTTGGATTCAGGTGTTAGCAGTGGGGGAGAGGAGCAGCTGAGTCAGGATGAGGGCATGGAGGATGCTGATAAGTCCACTGAATCTACACGCTTCCTGTTTCCACCTCATCCTTCCAGTGCTTTACCATGCTCCCTGCTCTCTTTTCCACAACTGCCTCTGAACTTGCCTGGGCCACGACTGAGTCCAGCTTTGCAGCTCCAGCCAGGTCACATGACACAGGGGTTTGCTCTGATGTCAACAGGCAGGTCGGTGGAGCCCTCTGGTGATGGATATATGCCAGTGAAACAGGAGGAGGGCTGAGAACAGACAGCAGGCTCAACTAGCAGGACAACATAGCATGTAGCACTTGGAGGAGTCATCACAGTCACTCAGTTCTCAGGAAAATGTAACATCACATAAATCTTTATCCACTTCAGTTTTCAGCAACTTTGACAGTTTCATGAATGTATTTTACTTTTGTTTTTTATATATTTATTCATATATCAGAACTGTTCACTATAACCTTGCTTTTAAAAGTGAATTGTTACATCAGATATTTCTACTGTTAAAAAAGAAATGTATTATCTAATGAAAAACTAAACCGAAATTAATAATAATGTGGTTATAATAATAAAAGTGTTTGCATTTTTATTGTGTTTTTAGAGATCATCTAAATGGCATGTAGCTTATTGTACTGAAACAAATGTTGGTAAAGGAATGTAAGTTCCAGATAGCTGAGATAGTTGTGTTATCTGTATAGTGTGTGAACTGATGTCATTTAGAGGGCATCATGATAATCACATATTAACTATAATCAGGATATTTGAAAATCAAATGCCTAGATATAGACTGGTATAGATATGTCTTGTGAAAAATTTGATATTGTGCCAGCCCCAAGGACAACAGCAGAATAATAACAGAGCTGTGTCTGTCGCCATCATCTTTCCCGTGTCAAATAAATATTAACATTTCTAACTTACATTTGAATGGCAGCTAACATAAAGTTTACTTCATAACATTACTGATCTATATAAGAGCTTGCATTTGTTTTGTTTTTTAAGAATTTTACTATTTTTTTAAATAAATATACATACTCAACATCTTTAACACAAAGTTGTTCCTGTGTTTTCTCTGGGTTCAGAAAGGGTGGCCATGCCCACTCTGATCGATGTCGGGAGACCCGCCTCTTCCTTGTCCCTGTCGTTTGTCCAGGGTTGTGGGGGCGAGGCATAGCTGGACTGGCCATCGGGCATACCGGGCATTTGCCCGGTGGGCCGCTGGCGATTTTTTGTTTTTATGGGCCGATGGATTTTTTTTTTTTTTTTTTAGGAAGGGTATATATAATGAAAGGTGTTGGATTGGCCAATTGGTCATGATCGACTCTGGGCTGGACCAATTACAGCCGAGGAGGCCGGATGCACCCCCCTTGTTTAGCAATCACGTGATTTTCGCGCATTGCATGCCGGGAACTCGTGGCAAAACAATCCAAGTACCGCATCAAATGCAAGCATTTGCAGCACCGCAAAACGTTCATTCTCCGGTTCCAATACCTTCTTGTTTTTTCTTTGCCGCACAAAAAAGGAATGTACAAAACAAAAGGAGAACAATGCCGGTCCGTACAAAGACAGACTCGACGAAAAGACAAAGAAAAGATACGAGGAAAAAATCAAAGGAGTGAAAGGGTCAGACCCTTACGAGCACACAGAGGGACAAAAGACGTTAGCGTGCTGCCCAACTTTCACCACGCTCAGATTTATAATTATACGGTTCTTGGAGTGAGTGCATACACTCATGAAGTTTAGTAACTTCAGGTCACTGCAACAAGCCCAGGTACAGTTTACCGACGGATGGGTACAGGACCTTGAAATGCACCGTGTAGAACGAAAGACCATCGTACGAACAAAGGTAAGTTTACCAGTCTCACAAATCGTCGTCATAAATACACATTCGTTAACCGTTTATTAATATAACCTTTGAGCTCAACGGTAATTAATTAGTAGTGGAAATAATTTCTGGTCCATAATATTGTATGCTGTAATCGTACTGGACAATTAGTGATACAAAACAACTGTTTTATCCTGTGAATAAAAGTATATGTTTTTGTCAATGTACCATAATAACAGAAGTGAAACGCAATATTGTGTCAGGACAATTCACTATTTATGCACAATAAATAAAGGAGCATAGCGCGACAATTTCTGTTCAGCGCCAGACTTGCTTGTAACCTATATCACCAATTATGTTAAGAAAAATGACGTATTAACTACTACAAAACTCTGACCTTTGTGGGAATGCTTGGAGCAGACTAACATGTGAGCTGGAGTGTTCTGGGACGTTATATTTGGTATATCCAGACCATCCGTCGGCTCTTACTTCGGAAACATGGCTTAAAACATTTCTCTTCAACGACGTAATCCGATTAAAAAAAAAACGATCGGCTTCCCGTGGCTGTCATGCGACCGGCTGTTGCAGTTAATAATACAACAGCTTCTTGCCATTTTTTGTGTTTCTTTTTATCGCTGTGTAACTGAGTTCAATTGAAAGCCTGCGTGCGCTAGTACCTCTTGCCAC